CCCCCATGGAGTTTTCTATTTGACATTCTTATTAGCCTGCATTTTCTGTTTCCCCGGCCAGTATTTAGGTCTTCTACGACATTCATTTTGAAAATGTATATGTCACTTGTTAGACATCGTCTTCTTTCAAAGAGGCATGTAAATCTTAGTTGTTGGTCTGTTAGAGAAAAGTCAGCTCGTAGAAAGCGTGGGAGAACTGCAGGTATCCGCTGCCATCAGTAGATTTGATGGAAAATGTTACCAGTGCAACTTTGCACTGGACAAATTTATCTCTAATTTGTATTATCAAGCAGTTCATTAATGTTTTGTCTGTCTGCATTGTATAAACGTTAAGATTAGATATGCCTTTGCGAAACAAACTCCACTTTTCTGAAATAGGTGTGAATTTTGGTTTCAGATTAAGGGTGTTTAAAAACATGGTGCTGGGGGAATATTTGGGCCTAAGAGGGGTGCCGTGACAGGAGGCTTCAGAAAATGAAGGCGCTCCATAAGTTGCAGTACACTTCACTGTTTTTTTTTCGATGACATAAAGGTCGATGAGATTGGGGATATGTAATTCGCTTCCGTAGTAGATGCGAACCGTTGGTATGAAATCCTAAAGGGATTATAGCGTTCGAAAGACCGAGACTTGTATGTGAGCCCAATATTAAAAAAGAGCACTGAGATGGTTAACTCTCCTACTTCGCATTCACGAAGACCCGGGTTCAAAGACCGGCTACAGTGACTGATATTTTTCGTGGTTTTCCTCACTCAATCCTTTCCAATTCATTACTCACTGCCATCCTCTTATTCGACGCTACATAGTCTGAGTTACATAAATAAACAAATATACACTAGCTCAAGTCATCAATATTTCTATTTAGTGGAGCTATCCCAAAATATGGGTGTACATGTTTGTGGAAATTATAAATTTGTAGAAATCCCAACTACTGCAGTGTTTTGGTTCCAGTGAAAACAATAATTCAGTTGAGCATTAAATTTGATTCTCCTGCTCTCTACTAGAATGCCTTAAAAACCAGTCAAATGAAGACATGCCCTCCTCCCCCACATTACAGTAATTTCATATCTTCAGGAGAGTTTCACTCAACTTAATTTAATATTGATGTCTGAGGTGTACACAAGCCGCAGCCTAGTAGTTATGATACTTGGATGTGAAAAAACCTATTACTGACTGAGATAACATGTTTTAACTGAAATACCTTCTCAGATTGTAAAAAGCTATGCTGGAACCACATCTGATGGTTGAAACAAATTTATCAAAATCAATTAAATGAAGGAAAAAAAAAAGTATGACGTTAAGACACTATGGGAATGACAACCAGTGAGACAAAATAACTTATTTATTGTTTCTTCTATTATGCAGATAGATGTCTGTGCCTAAAATAGAGCAAATTTCTGCACCTGTGATACTTGGTGAAGGGCCTCACTGGGACCACGATGCTCAAGCACTATATTACATTGACATTAAAGGCTCTACCGTCCATAAGTATGTTCCTGCCACCAATACACACACGACAGTGAAAATTGGTAAGTACTGGTTGTTAATTAATAGTGTCAATAAATACAAATTTATTATGACTTTAACTATGTAGCTGCTAAAGACACAACAAGAGAAGGGAATTCTATAAACAGACATTACAAATTTTGTTCCATCACCTATGACCATAATGCACCACAATCTTCACACATATTTGTAATAATAATAATAATCCGTGGCGTAACAGCCCTCTGAGAGCCAAAGCCGACTAGCTTGACTGCTGGCCTCATGTTCACATGCCTAAGCAGAGGTGAACAATCATCCAACCAGATACAGGGTGACGTGTGGTCAGCACGACGAACCCCCAGCCATTGCTAGTTTTCATGACCGGATTACGCTACCCATTGTAGCTCCCCAATTCCCTCACGATGCTGGGTTGGCACCAGTCGAAAATCTCATGAGAAATTTCTTTCCCCCGAGACTCGAACCAGTGCGCATTCCGTGTCACCAGTCCGAAGCACGATGAATTTCACAGTCACAGTTAAAATGGCTAACAGATATTTGCATAAAACCATAACCTAATTATAGATTCTGCATGGCTAACAGAATTTTAAGTTACAAAATAATATATCATCAGAAAATTCTATATCCTATGTTACTAATATTTATCTAGTTTAATTTATAATTAAATGTGACATAAGGCAAAATGTATACAAATGCATATTCTGATATGCTTTTTGTTAGTTTGTCACAAAGTGTTGTTTAACTGAAGAAAAAACCCATCTGTAGTCACTGGAACTTGCTTTCAAATCTGCACTTGCCTAGGTATCCATGGTTTTTAACTAGATAAAGTCCCTATATAGAATAAATACATAGTCCCCTTACTGGAAAATGTTATGATCGATATGATGCATGTTTCTGTTTCCAACTTTCCAAACTTAGAATGTGGCATATGTATATTATTTGTACTGTTTTATAGACGGTGGTGAAGTCTCACTTGTCATTCCACTTGAAGGGACAAAAGACAAGTTTGTGATTACTGTAGGGCGTAATGTTGCTATACTGACATGGGATGGTGAAAGCAGCACTCCTACAGAAGTGAAATATGTTAGTGCTGTTGACAATGAAAAAGAACTTCAGGATAACAGGCTAAATGATGGCAAGGCAGATCCTATTGGTCGACTCTGGGCAGGTATGGTATGAAGTCACAAGTAAATATTGTAATGATTTTCAGGTAATAAACTGTGGGTTTTTGTTTGAAATCTGGGTTTATTCCACTCACTATTTGTATAACTTTGGGTTCTGGGGATGAAAACCATTGAATGTTTAAAATTACCCAGTGTTTCAGTTATCTTCAAGGTGAAAGTGTTCTGGTTGTGGGAGTGGGATATAATATACAGATTAGCTGAGAGGAAGAGCTGGCTGATATCAATTTGGTAACAAGCACATGGTAGAGGAAAAGGCTTTTAAGGGGCAACATGGTGATAAAAGAAGTTTTGGTGACTACATGAATTGGAAAAGGCGATAGAAGATGCTACTTAATTTTTAATATTATTATTTCCAGTTTTTTATTAATAAACCAAGAGGATGGGACAAGAAGTGATGGAGAACTGTAATTTCAGAGCCAGGTGGTAAAAGAAGAGGTGACAAAGACGTTCTGCTGAATGTTAGCAGAAAAAAAAATCTCTGAACTGGTACATGTTAATTTCTTTAATTCTGTTTTCCTATAGGAACGATGGGTGCAGAGTCAGATCCAGAAGACAAATTTCCACTAACCTTAGGATCACTTTTCAGTTTCTCTAAGGATTGGAAACCGACAAAACATCTGTCAAACATTACAGTATCCAATGGCCTGGCTTGGAGTGAAGACCTAAAGTCAATGTACTACATTGATTCCCCAACAAGGAAAGTTGAGGCTTTTGACTTTGATGCTGAAAGTGGCAAAATTTGTAAGTATTCATGCTTTCATAGACAGTATTACAATCCACATATTCTAATTCTTTACAGCATTATGTCCAAAGTGACTTTGGGGCATATCCGCTTCCATCTACTATGGTTCAGAATGTGTGCATTTTCTTTACTTCCACATAATCTGTGCACTTTCATGACATGGTGCTTAGACACAGGGACAACTTTATCTCTTATCTAACTACATGAAGCAGAGTACTTCTTGAGTAGCTAACAGTACAATCTGATAGTTAAGCAATTCCCTCCATTGTATGGAACCTGAATGTTCATTCCACGATACCAAAAGCCCACCACTGTGAGAAGAATCCAATCCATAATCTTCCAAATCCATCTCCCTTTTAACCATGTCTCAATCTTCCAAGTATTCCCTTCCTTACAGGCTCTCTGACATGCCTTCCCATCTAATCCTCCTTTATGTGATCATTGTAATAATACTTGGTGAAAAGTATAAATTATCGAGTTCCTCTTATCTTAGAGCCATAAATCACAATATACATGTCAATTAGCACCAAGAACTACTTAACAAATAAGCCTTAAAGTGTTGTAATATATTTTATACCTAAATAAATGCAACATTTTTTAAAATCACTGTTGTCTCACACACACACACACACACAAATATACACACCCGCCCAGAATCTGTTAAATCTTGCAACAAAAGTCATTTTTATATATGTCTAAACATTTCTTAATTTTTCTGTCAAATATTTTACATACGCAAGAGTTCACCGTCTGCTTAAAAGTATCTTTTACATTACAACAGAAGTGATAAAATATCAGTTCTAAGTGGTGAACAATGAACATGTTCGCCCCTATGAAATATGCAGAAAAAAAGAATTACTGACCTTGCAACTGCTGGTCAGATTCAAAAGTCAAGAGATGAAACACCAAGGCACTTTGCATCCTCATGTTGCAAATGGAGGCTGTAAATACACTGAATAAGAAGTAGCAAACAGTCAACAACTGGTGATCCTCCAGTTTGTGGGTTCAGTGGGGGCCAATAATGCCCATCATAAACGTGGCTGGAAGAGTGTACTCTTGGGAGTACACTGATTTTCCAAAGCTATTCCTCTCGCAAAATCATGTAGGTCACTGTTGCACTGCTGTGATTCAAAGCCAGTGTTAAACAACAGTGTCACATTGTAACCAGGCTAATGGTAGCAAAGGGGTGTCCAGGCCTGGTGGCCTGTGGGGCAAAGCACCTGGATCAACAATTACTGGGAACCAGGCCCCAACTAAGCAAGTATCCTGGGGTAGGGACTGAGAGATGAAGCCCCAGGTACCCCCAGTTGGGGAAACATGTAGGAAGCATTAAATGAGGTGCCCCAAAGTGGGATAGAAAGCCCAGAGGCAGAGCTCAAAGAACAGGAAGTTCAGGGGGCTAGGCCCCAACAAAGCAAGAATTATGAGGGCCTGGGTAGTAAAGCCAAAGGGGATAAATAACAAACCTCAGTTGGGACTAGGTGTGGGGGAAATTACCTGGGGGTGTTTCCAGGGGTTGTAGTCCCTAGAAGTGGCCTAGTCCCATTGAGGATGAAGCCCCTTGGGGGTAGTCTACAGTAAAGAAAAAGCCAGGGAATAACAACTGGAACAATAATAATAGTGATAGGAACAACAATAAAATTAACAATAACAATAAGTTTCCATTATTGTACAACATATCTCATAGGAAAAATGTAACAAACAGGCAAACATGGACAGACCCATAAGCTGTTCCTAACTCACATAAGAGCATGAATAATGCCTAATGACAACAGTAGTCTGTAACACATTTATAACTGCAAGCAACCAAAAAGGTCTTACTCCAGTAGCAATGTGGCAACATTAACATAATTTTTTACTACTGGAAATGCACAAAGTGTAATGCCATAACATCTTGTCCTAGGTAAAAAATTTCAACACCTGAAAATAGAAAGACATAATTTGCAAGAGCACTTCCCTCCTTACATTTTTCCATACTTTCCAAATAACAGAGTTCTCCTATGGTCTCAGACTTACATGACATTTGTATCTACAGTATTATAAATATCACTTTCATTTTCAGCCAACAGACGTACAGCTTTTGATTTTGACATACACGACGTTCTTGGATTTCCAGATGGAATGGCAACCGATACCAAGGGAAAATTGTGGGTGGCTTGCTTTGAAGGAAGTCAGGTAAAATAAATAACATAGAATTAAGTTCTACAAATAATTTATAATATAATTACAGAGTTTGGATACTCATGTGTATCAACAATGTTACAGTTCTGTATTTTTAAGGTATCTGTAACTTTTCCTTGTAACATTAATTTTTTTTTTTTTGTGGCATACAGTCAATACTAATAAAACTAAATATATGAACGCAACAAGATCACAAATTGCCAACATAGTCATAATTTAATTATATTTTATAATTTGACAATGCTTAAGAATATAAATAAGTTACATGGGAACAACAGTAACAAATAGAAATTAAGTTGAAGATTTCTGTCTTCTGGTTTGTTGCGCTGTGTAGTCTGGTCGATGCTAACCAACGTTTCAGAGGTCATACTGCCTCCGTCATCAGGGCGATGAATATTCAAATTCATCGCCCTGATGACGGAGGCGCAACAACCCAAAAGACAGAAATCTTCATACTCACCACTGTGAAAACCTCAAATCTTACAGAAATTAAGTTCATGATGAAATTAAGAGAAAAATAAATTATGGAAATGCTTAAACTAAAGCTGACCTGCTGTATGCCTTGTAGGCACTAGTGGGGAAAGGAGGTATAGAGCCTACTCATTCTTAACCTCGGCACTAGATAGGGGTGAGTGGTTTGGTCACGCCTCGGCTGCACTTTATCCCTAGGAAAAGACTCCGGTACCCATTGGACAGGAAGCTGGGTGGGCGCCAGAGCCAGTCTGGATGCAAAGGCTAGAGGAAAAATCCTCCACCCTGTAAGGGATTGAACCCCAGTACTCCAGTCCGTAGTCAGTTACTATACTGACTGAGCTACCATGGCTATATGGAAATGCTAATGCTTGTTCTCATTTAATTGAAAAACTGTCAGGTCTCTTACTTTGAGGAAAGAACATTTATTACAAGTGCAGTGCTGATGAAAACATTTGGAATTAAAAGGAATGAAGAAAATAGTTAGGATATTACATAAAATGGAAATTAATTATTTATATGTCACCAGTACCATTAGAATAGTAAAATCTAAGAGTGTTTAATGGGCTGGATATGAGATTAGTATTAAGGAGATTAGGAATGCACACAGCATTTTCAAGAGAAGCCCATCTTTGAAAATGAGCACTTTGAAGACCAAACAATAATTTATTCATGTAGATCTGGTTTGTATGTGTTTTAGGTGATTCGAGTGGATCCTGCAAATGGAAAACTGTTGAGGTGCATCCCTATTCCTGCATTAAAAGTGACATCTGTTGCATTTGGAGGACCACAACTTGATGAACTTTATGTCACTAGTGCAGATATTTTGACTGAGGAACAAAAGAAAATGTACCCAGAATCCGGTGCCACTTTCCGAGTGACAGGTCTTGGAGTCAAAGGATACCCTGGTCAAGCTGTCAAGTTGTAATCTTGTTTTCCAAAACAGTGCATAAGCATTGAACAGTGGATACACGATCATCTTCCTCTTTTCACTTGTGTAAAAGTGACCATGTTAATACTGCATATTATATCTAACTTGAATTTAGTGTTTATTCTCCACATCTGATTTATAGTTCAACAAGAATATTTTCAGGGCAAAATAAATGGTAGCAGTCGATCACTAAAGTTTACAAAAAGTGGGATATAGAAAAAAATTGATGTTGTTGAATGTACTATGGATGAAAATTAAAGTAATGAATGCTGCCAAAAGGAGTTGACAAATCCTAGGAAATATCTTTATATGAGAGTTAGTCAGAAAGTTTCCACAATGATTTATTTTACAGCTTGTTATGATGGCTGCACTGTTTATTCTGTGAGCGGATAGAAGCATGAACACACTATGTTACTGTTAAATACTTTTGACCTTAACCGGCCAGTTGTGGTGTCGTTTTAGTAGAGTTAACGTGGATGCTCCACTTTCTGTTTGCACCAAAGAACAGTCTGCTAAGGCCTACTGAACCGTTAACATAATGAAAGTCACACTTTTTGAGGCACAATGTCACTGGGGACAAGACGTGGATCCACCATTACGCCCCAGAAAGCAAACAACACAGTATGGAACGGAAACATCCGACATCACCAGTCACAAAAGTGTTATGTTGACACTTTTCTGGGATGTACAGGGGCCAATTTTGGAACACTACGTAGCAAAGGGCACAATAGTAAATGGTGTCCATTATACTGAAATGCTTTGGGACCAGTTGATGCCAGCTATTCAAACCACATGCAATTGAAAAGGGTGGGACTATATAAAAAAATAATGCCATGGAACATACTCGTTGTCACTGAATTATTTAATAAAAATTTAATTGCAGAAACTTTCTGACTCACCCTCATATACAGTTAAAGTGCAGAAATGAATTTTTTTATACCTTTAGGCATGCAAATATAAAACAAGCAAGTAACAAACATATGAATGTTATAGAAACATTAAGACTCGAGATTGTACACGGGATGAGAATCTGATTTTTGAATATTCATAAATGAATAAAGCATGACAAGTTGTTTTTTAATAAAAGCTGCCAAGACAAACTCTAATTACCAATCATGAATTCTTCCACCATCAATTTTAAATATGCATGACTTGTGCTGTTTTTAACTGAAGAGTTTAATGAATAGTGCAGTTTATTTGAGGTGTGGGTTGTTGATTCAGACCCTATATGGAATATCTGGCCCAAAATGGAAAACATGTTTCTGTAAAGAAACATTTGATGGTCAGGTTAATATGCTTATGTTAACTGTAGATTTCATTTGTGGATATATGTAATAAAAAACAGATCTTGTCAAATGATCTTTCAACAACCATACACTGAAACAAAATCGTAAATACATTACTGATAAAATAGTTTTATAGTTTCTGTTGAGGCTCAAGGAGATGATACTGCACATCAGGATTATGAACTGTGAATGAGGAAGGACACAGAATAAAGCTATTGTGATGAAATTTAAGGGACCATTTGAGCAGTGATCTATAAGGACTCAGAAGTCACATACAAAGTAACACAAAATGTTGCTTCATACATCCCTCTAAGCACCATTTCAAGAAAATTAACATATCAATTATAAAGATGTTCTGAATGAAAAGATTACGCACATTACCAACCTTTTTATCTAAAGATAAGTTGTTCTACAATTTACTCTACTGCAAGCCTCAAGTGGATACATGTTGAAACTCTGTTTCTCACATAACACATAAAACATTTTACAAGAGGGTGTGTTCAGATATTTCAGTGAGACGATATGACACCAAGACATAAAATATCTCAAACTTTGCATATAAAGAGTACTAAATGCAGAATTGTCTAATTCTATCGTTTCTGGTTCTGTTGAAAACTTACCAGTAGTTAAGCTGTTATTTTGTTACCTGTGGCACTAAGAACAATTCCTTCCTCTCCATTCTAAATACCGCACAATCAGCTAGCTTCCTTCACTGAACTGTATTGTGACAATCTCCATTCCTTTCCCATGAACACAAGCAGTGATACAAGAACTGCAACAAAACAGATTTTATATTAAGACTTACATTAGGTATGTATCATGGAAATTTTCTTCACTAAAATAGAACAGTGACTACAGAATATTACAGCTTTCAGAATATTTAGAAAAATGGAAATTTCTGCTGTGCCTTCTCATACTTTTGAGAATGGTGGACTGATTTTGCTAAAATTTTATATCAAAGGTCCTTGCTCATCCAACTTGTATGTTTATAAGAGAGCATCCAAAGTTAGCATTCATGAATTGAAAATCTAGAATGTGCCAGAAATTTTTAAGCTATACATATTGTAACCGCTCATCAATCCCCTTGCCGGGGTATGCTATTTTCTTTTGTTTGTACTTGTAAGAAACCCAAGTTTTGTCTGCTAGGTAATAAGGTTTTGGTATTATCCACTTATTGTCCTGCTACTCTTTTCTTAGTTTATGATTTCTGTGTATTTCATTTATATTCAGAACTATTGTAAGCTTGGGATCGACTATGGACAGCCGATGCTGAGTGATGTAGCGGTACTTGAAGTACGTGGGACCGCAGAGGTCTTGGGAGTTCCCAGACTTGGAAATTCCCTTGTATCTGAATTACCTGCTCTTAGCCTAAGTGGGTTTTGCAGCTAGTTAGCGATGCCCTTTTGGAATTAAAAGTGTGGGAGGGACTCCCTGAGGGTTGAGTGAGAAGGGGGAGGTCTTTCGAACCGAACCTGGACCCACACCAACAGGAGTTGAGGTTACGTTTCCTTTTGGGCAAAGCTGGGAATTTTGGTTGTGGAGCCGTAAAGGGGCCTATGGTATAAAAGGGACCATTTTGGCCGCAAGGAAAAAATATATATTCTTTCTTCGATTCAATTCCGTTCCATTCAATAAACATTCTATATTCCATATTAAAGATTATCACGATTTTATATTCAAGAGTTCTGATAGTAAGAAAGGAGGTAATTGTTAAGTCAGCATGTGGTTGTGCAGTTGAGAGAATTGTAAAATCTACAAAGTGTAAAACATCAAGGATCACGCAGGTCCTAAATAAATACTGTGTTACTACCAAACAATCTGAGTATTCAATACAGCTGTTACGAACTGGCCGTGACACCAAATGAGAGCCAGTCGATGCAGACCGACTAGCTGAGCCGAGCAACAAACCCTGAGAGATCCCAACAATCCCAACCAACAACATCGTAGTAGAGCTTCTTGTGGTCAGCGAGGAAGGAGGAGAACGGTTACAATATTTAACCTAACTAATTTTTCTACAACAAATTTATATTTATATAAAGACAATAAAAATACAGATTGCATAACAAATGAGAGACTTCCTGCTTTTTTTGTAACAATTATGATTTGCTGAGTATTTAATGACACACAGCAAGACACTTGGTAGATCCCGTGTAGAGACCGTCGCATTATTGATGCATTGTTCGGAGACTGAAATCTTTATTTGCTTCACAGGGGGAAAGGTATTTTAAGAGTGTTATGTGTACGCGTTGATAAGGCAACATTTCACATTGAAAAGTATGCAACATTTATGCAGGTATCTGATAAACTTACATGTCTTATGTTGGATGTAAAATAACTAATTTCTTTGCAGTATTTTAGAGCAGTTAGATTTTACTATGTCTTTCCATTTTTTGTTGAAATCTTTTATCTGGTACTCTGAGTCCTCACTTCCGAAGGTGAACATTCTGTTTCATGGAGCCAGGTTTTAACATTTGTAGTGGTAGCACGTTTGGGATCGACTATGGACAGCCGATGCTGAGTGATGTAGCGGTACTTGAAGTACGTGGGAACGCAGAGGTTTTAGGAGTTCCTGGACTTGGAAGTTCCCTTGTACTTGAATTATCTGCTCTTAGCCTAAGTGGGTTTTGCAGCTAGTTAGCGATGCCCTTTTGGAAGTAAGAGTGTGGGAGGGACTCCCTGAGGGTTGGGTGAAAAAGAGGAGGTCTTTCGAACCGAACCTGGACCCACACCAATAGGAGTTGATGTTACATTTCCTTTCGGGCAACGCTGGGAATTTTGGTTGTCGAGCCGTAAGGGTTCTTACGGTATAAAAGGGGTTATTATGGCCGCAGAGGGGGATTCCATTCAATAAACATTCTTTATTTACTATTTGATATTGGATATTCGGTATTCTATATTCTGTACCCAGTATTCTGTATTCAGTATTCAAGATTATCGCGAGTTTATATTCAAGATTCAAGTTACGGTATTTAGAAAGGAGGTAATTGAGAAGTCAGCGTGTGGTTGTGCAGTTGAGAGAATTGTGAAATCTACAAAGTGTAAAACATCAAGGATCGCGCAGGTCCTAAATAAATACTGTGTTACTTCCAAACAATCCGAGTATTCAATATGGCTATTACGAACTGGCCGTGACACCGAATGAGAGGGAGTCGACGCAGACCGACTAGCTGAGCCGAGCAACGAACCCTGAGAGATCCCGAACAATCCCAACCAACAACATCGTAGTGGAGGCTGCGGTCAGCGACAAAGGAGGAGAACGGTTACAGTAGGCATATTTTATGTGTCAGGAGCGAGGCGTTCTCGTTAACCGTATTAGCCCATCTATACTTTGAAGAACGACGAATAAAAAGTAATACTATCCTTCCATCTACACCTAGGTTTCGCAAGTGGTCTCTTTTCTTCCCTTTTCTGTCTGAAACTAAAGACTTTGATGTAATAAGAATATGAATGATACGTACTTTTCCACAAGTTTTACGTGCTCTGTTTTGCATGTAATGTTAATTTGTGCATCCTTTACGAACAAGCTTAGTTTTAAGAACAATGTTTATTTGTTCAAGAATTAGAAAAGCAAATTTATTAATGGAGATGTTCTCTTTTTGCTCGGAAATTACAAAATGCCACATTTTAATTTTATCCCAAAAAATTTCCGGTTTCTAACGTCATCATATATGCTCTAGAAAGAATAAACGTAGTTTAGCCGTTTGTAGTAACGCCTGTCACATTTAGGGACATCCTGTTCAGCTAGCTTCACTGTGCCCTTGAGTTTTGCATATTTTATTGCAATCTTATCTCTGTATAACATTTCTTTCCTACAAATTCTCACATTTCCTCCTCTTCCTACCTCTGGAAACATTCATACACGTATTTTTTCCAGAAGGCTTTCAAAATCCCCTACCTGAATCCTGAAACTGTTCGCTCTACCCACTAAAGATTTCCAGGGATGCTTCCAGGCTTGGCAGCGGCGCTGGGATAGTTGTGTTCACTCCCAGGGGAACTACTTCGAGGGTGATGGATGAATTTAATACCTGAGATAAGTGTACGGGTTTTTATAGGCGCAGTCTTGAAACTTTCCGATCGCACCTCGTAACAGCTTACTTTGGCTTTCACACAAAACAACCAAAAGTGCCAGATAACATCATTTCAAATATGTATTTTTAAGAAATTCCGCATGACACATCAAGATACAGAGATGGAGTTTATGCTTTCCTTTCAGACATTAATATTTCATTCTTCATTTTAATAAATTCACTATTATGGGCAGAGCAGAAATGGATATAAAGGCTTTCATCAGCTATTCTCTTTAGTATTCAGTACCATGCTTAGAGATACAGTATTTTCATATTACATATGAAAACTTATTCTGAACATATGTAAAATAAACGGACAAGTAGTACATGAATTTCTACCTTGAATTCCATGTTAGAAGTCCTTGAATGTCTGCTACAGCACTGCAGTACCTTGTCTTAACAGAAGCAGACAAAGTGTGACCGTCTAGATTGCAATTCCAGTTCCATACCGTTATTCGTTGATCTATTGCTACACTTATCAGCACATTATTTCCAAGTTTAAGCCCTGTTAAAGACACATCAAACTAAGGTAAGTACATCAAAAATCACATTCACAGAGTCCAAAATGTTCTTGTTTGTGTAAAACAGAAGAGAGACCTCAGTTATAATGACAACCTGATTACAAAAACAGTAGCCATTCCTCAAACAAATACATCTTATAGAGTTCTTATTGATTTATTGTTAGAGTTAATATTAACATTACAGACATACAGTAACTAAATGTTCTGATGATGCATCATCACTAGGTATAAGGGTTCAATATATGGACAGATTGGATAATAGAAATTTTTATCTTCTAAAAACGCAAATATGGTGAACACAATTAAAACCAACCAGCTGAAATGGGCTGGGCATATTATTAGGGAGGATGATGGAAAATCAACTACACAAGTTAGGAAATACATGCACAATTACAACATGTTTGCTGCAATTTGATCTTTGTAAATGGCGCCAGTAATATCACACATGTATGGAAGGCTGGGAATTCCCCAGGTAACTACAGTAACCATGGTAATCAAGGTGATCCACTCTCACCTCTTCAACAACAGTCAAAAGGGGGAGGAGGTGTTCAGTTCTATATGTTGTTGGTTCGCTTGGCCCACGCCCCTGAAAAGGGAGTACAGTAGGGCCCCGCTTTACGGCGATTCGCTAATACGGCGCTCAACAGCTGAGTCAGAGAAGTGCGTCCGGCGCCATTTTCTCGTCGCTGATTCAATCTGTTTACAGCTTTTGTACGCTCCGCGTCTCCGTATTTCTGGCAATTTTTCAAAGTTATTACAAACTGTATATTTATGTAATATTTTTGTGTTTCTACAGTGTAATTACAATGGCGTCAAAGGGTAGTAGCGATAAAAAGAGGAGTCGTAAGCCTCTTACTTTAAATACCAAGTTAGATATAATTAAACTTCGTGAACAAGGCATGTCTATGGCCGAGATAGGACGTAAGCTAAGCTTAGCTCGCAAAACTGTTAGTGCCATCGTGAACGCTAAGGAGAAAGTGTTAAAGGAATTAAAAGTGCCACACGAATGAACTCTAAAGTCATAAGAAAAAGAGATAGCCTTATTGCCGACATGGAAAAACTTTTAGTTGTGTGGATTCATTTTATTTCATATCGTTTTCTTTGGCCTAGCGCTATTGTGCACTTACTATATGATAGTGTAACATCTTATTAGGCTTTGATATGCATTTGCAAGTGAAATAAGGCAAAGATCCGCTTTTCGGCGATTTTCGCTTTATGGCGGGGGTCTGGTCCCTAACCCGC